TGGTTTGGGTTTGTCGCTTCATCATCATCTGGATCGACCCATCTTTCAAAGTCAGTTTTGACATATGGAAGTTTGCCTGCATTTTTAGTAAGACGAGGCCACATTGAGTGCTCTTCTTTTTCAAGCACAAGAAATATAGCTCTGCCGGAAACGCTTTCGCTTAAAGGCTAGGAGTTAACATACATGACAATACCGTTGGCTTAATTTTGGAATAAAACTCTAGCTCCAGTGAATATGGCTGCTTTGAATCTCCCTTCCGGCCGAAGAAGGAAATCGAGTCGGCAGTGAAGGACAGATTTTTATCACGAACATCCCAGACTTCAATGGTAAAATAGATTTTATCTTCCCGCTGGGCCCAAAGTACAATTGGGCTTATAGATTCGCCGCTGTTGTTGCTCATTTCAAATGCAATTGAAAAAAAGACCCCACTTCAGCGCTATTTTATACATTCTCTAATCTATGCGATTCGGGAATTTGTGATGGAATTCTAGAATATTCTTTCAAATGTAAATTAAAATTAGCTTAACTTAGCTTAGGTTGATTTTATTTTTCAATTGCTGGCCCTCATCCAATGGTTGTCAATGAATTTGAAACCTGTTCCATATTTGATCATTTATAAGGCTCCAGAATTCCGGTAATTTTCAAAATGCAGCCTCTCATATGTTCCTTTTTTGTTCTTTCGGTGGCAAGCTATTTTCAGCAGCTCTATGCTAACGGATATGTTGGCGGCTCCACAGGAAACGCCGTTTCCAATCATTACGGCGACGGATCGGCCCATGAAAATTTCACCTCTTATGATCCCTTTTTTTCTAAGAAAGTGTCTTTCTTCAAAGATATGCTTGCTATTAGGGCAGCTGATGACATCTTATTCATCTCTACTTTAAAATCCAAGATCTTCAATGGAGACAATGGGTTTATTTGGGACGACGATGAAGCTGCGTATTCTTCCAAAGTTCGAACCCGCAAGGCCATTTCTGATTTATCAAACATCGAAAGGCATTTATTCGAACCCGTCAAAACCATTAAAATCCCATTGATGAAAGCCGGGAAAATCCCTCTTTCTGCTGTTGGAGATCTTTCTGAAAGATTGACTTCTAAATATTCTTCGCAAGATGTAATTAAAGAGGCCTTATTTGGCGATGATAGCAGCTCTGCTTTTACAACGGAAGAGCGCGAACGAATCCTTGC